GGGGGCAGTCCCTGACCTTTCTGGCTCTCCCCTCTCCAGGTATGGTGGGCATGCCCAGGAGCACATGCTGCCCATCTGCAGAGTCCCCAGACTAGCGAGCTTCTTCCTGGGCCTACACCTGGGCTCTGCACTCCATGGGGCCTCGAGGTCTGGGCTGGACCTGTCAGCAGGGAGCTACACTTGGAGGTGGCTACTCAAGCCCCCATCTCAGCAGGGCGCATGGGTCACCCAGTGGAGAGCGTGCACAGAGAAGCTGCATCACTCAGCCCTGCGCCCTAGGGGTACCACAGCCCCGGAGGCCCTGGCCGCTGCTCTGGGGACATGAGATATTCCCAAAGTCTCAACCCAGCCTCTCCTCCTGCAGCTCCCAGCTAGGGATCCCTGGGCCCTGCCTCCTCCCACCTACCGAGGATGGAGCCCCTCAGCTCTTGGACGATGATGTGCAGGTCATCCACGTCCACAAAGTGCAGGTGCTTCTTGGCAGGGGCTGAGGCAGCAGCTGACAGCTCCAGAAAGTTGCCTCGGCCGGTGCTGACGATGAACACGGTGACGCCCAAGTCTTTTAGCTCCTGCATGGGGGGTCCCACAGGGTCGCTGGAGCCGCCATCTGTCACCCACACCAGCACCTTGGGCACTCCTGGCCGGGCACCTGCTGCTTCAGCAAAGAGCTGTTCCTTGGCATATGCCAGCGCCAGGCCAGTGTGAGTGTCACCCATGCGCTGGACCGAAGCGCGAACAGCATCCTGAGCAGCCTCGCCTGAGCTGTGTTGGCCGAAGGGGAACTCAGTGTACGGCCGAGTGCCCACGTGCACCAGGCTGGCACGCAGGGCCCCAGTGCCCAGGGGCAGTGGAGCCACCAGCTGCCCCACAAACTCCCGAACCCGGGAGAACTCGTAGTGAGACACGCTGGCCGAGCTGTCCAGCAGGAACATCAGGTCCCCTCGGGGGGCCGATGCTGGTGGACCTGGGGGAAAGGAGGGATGCTCAGCCTCAGGTGTGGGCCCCCCAGACAGCCCCACAGCAAGGCAGGGTCCCCCAGGGCCTCAGCTTTCCTTAGGTGGGTGCTTGCCCTCCTCCGAAGGTCCTAGGTTGGGGGAAAGAGGAACTCTAAGCCAAGCAAGAGGCCTGTACTTTTGGGGCTTTCACTCTGCACACTGGCCAGAGGACCTACAGCTCTCTCTGCGCTGGTGTTATCCCGTCTGTGAGAGGACGACTCCCCGCTCCAAGCCCCCACACCTTCCCATTCCTCACCGACCCTGCAAGCAGGTGGAGCCGAGTCCTGGCCTAGGCCCTCAGGACAGGCCTGAGCCATGGCGCTGCTCCCTCCAGGCATGGCTTTCAGAGGAGCAGCCCGAGGCTGGAGTTCAGCCACGCAGCTCAGGCTCCAGGTGAGGCACCGTGGGCACGCACACAGCAGCAGGGGAAGGTGTAGCAGGCAGAGCAATGACCCCGCCGGATGGCCTGGCTGGAGCCCAGACCCCACTTACCAGATGGTGTCCCCTCCCCTGGCCTCCATCCACCAGCCCACCTGGACCCCCACAAGACACACACCCCCAAGCTGCCTGAAAGCCCGATCAACCCCTCGCAGGCTTCCCCCTTCCTCCCGGCACCCCCGGGGTGGAGGCTGATGCCCCCCACACCACCCCTCCGCACCAAGCCAGGGACCAGCAGCGTGCCTCAATTCTAGTCCTGGCCTTGCGGTTTTCTCCAGTGCGGTGGGGCGACTCCAATTTCCCTACCATCCCTCCACTGAGGGCCTTTGCAAGGGTAGGGAAACTGAGGCGAGGTGCCCCACTGAGGCGAGGTGCCCCCTCGACAGACATCTCCCTCTTCCTGTCCAGGCC